TTATGAAATATAGTTACATACCCAGTCAACAATTTGATCTCACAATAATGTCACCATGAGCTCACATGATTCTCATGGTGTGGTCACAATGTGTGTGTCACAGTGAGCTAAAAGTGTAACCACACAGCGCACTCGTATGAGGATAGTTTGAACTCACAATGATTTCATATACTACTCACACCGTGAGGATCACAGTATGAGGATAGTTTGAACTCACAATGATTTCATATACTACTCACACCGTGAGGATCACAATATGAGGATAGTTTGAACTCACAATGATTTCATATACTACTCACGGTGAGGATCACAGTATGAGGATCATGTGATGTCACTGTGATCATCGCATGATCTCACGTGTTGACTGGGTAGCCTTCTAAAATTTAAAATACTGTACACACAGAAATTGCAACTTACCTGCATTTATTGTGATTGTGTATGTTTTTGCTGACAAGTGATTTTTATAACATGTTAAAGTTAAAATTTAGATGCCAAATCAATTTCATTTTGATGGTAATGTAAACTGTAGACTAGAACGCTAGTATTTTTTTACTGCTCAAAATAAGGCCATTTGATTCTTTTTTTAAATCTAATAATTAAAATGAAACATTAAAAAAGGGAAATACAATTCTGAATTTACACACCTGGACTGTGTAAATTCAGCAATTTAACGATAGTTACCTCCTACTGCTACTTGGTTTTACTTTTCCTCAAGATGGCGGCGCGTTCACATGCTGCGGCTTCTCTCTCTCCCGACAGAAAGGTATTTTTTACATATTTTTTTTTACTTTTTACCTTATTTGTATATTTGTATAGTTGTATTTTATATTTAATCTGTATATCTGTATTTATGTTCTACTGTTAGTGTTATCTGTATGCACCAAGGGTCTGAGAGTAACGCAATTTCAATTCTCTGTGTGTATGTGCTGTACATGTGGAAGAATTGACAATAAAGCAGACTTGACTTGACTTGACTTGGTTACAATCATTTGCTAACTAATTAGCTTAAAGGGTTCGGTTTAGCTATAAAACACCTCCTAAATAATAAAACACAATGATCACGATCAAGGATGATAATCTACCTCAGTTTCTTTGTAGTAAGTCTTCATATGCTGCTTGAGGTTTGTTGTGTTCTTTCCATATATTGTGTGTGCACATTGCTTTCCGTTTAATATAACGAGACAAATTTTTTCTCTCTCTCTCTATATATATCCCAGATAGCACACGTACATCTCCAAAATATCTGTTAATGAGCACTTCATCTGGAAAGCATCTGCTGTGTACAAACATCTGATAAATGTCTTTAAGATGTCAGTTTTACATACATTCTAAATCATAAACATCTTAAAGACATTTTCTAGATGTCTATTTAACATCTGACAAGAAATGTCTCAGAGATGTATTGCAGATGAGCAAAAACTCTAAAAAAATATGTCTTCCAGATGTAAACACATCAAATAGACATATCTGAGATGTATGTGTGCTATTGGGACCTCTATATAGAGAAAGTGGGCCCAAATATCAGGTCTTCTTTTTCAAGTCCAACAGTTCCTGTCATTATTTTTTGTTCAGTTAAGATACTCCCCACCATGCTTGTGATATGCCATTGCCGCCCATGCAAAACTAATTTTGAATAAAAAAAAAAATTTCATAGTTGATGATGTTGATGCTGAAAAAAATAATGCATTGCATTAACAATGCTGGCATTTTAATGCCTTGTATTTCAAGGGCTTGCATTTTTAGGTCCTGAAATTTAACATAGTTGTCTATTTAAGCTGTGAATATTTAAATTCAAAATATTTCACACACATTTTCATAATTAAAAATTCTAATTCATATTCACCTTCCAGAATTCACTTCCAAAATATTCAATCTGTTTAAAAATACGAAGTATAATATTCGACAGGCAAATTTCGGTCCATTTTATTTCACTTTCCAAATTCGTTTCCACAAATTCAGTGGTTAAAATTAGACAGAAAATTCGGCATTGCACATCCGGGAGCTGCAGGAATAGCAGCAGAGCACCGATGCATGATCTCCAGCTGCTGTCAGTCGCTCACCAGCAGGTGGCGTAAGCGGCTGTTGATGAAGACCAAAGCAACAGGTGGATTAAGTCATTCATTCACAAAAAATGATTTGCAGAAATGGAGCAAGGCTAAGTAGAATTTTGATTATCGGGGCCAGTATAAACATGTGGAAAAGCTGATTGTGTGTGTTTAATTCAACATCTTTGCTGTTTCCCGTAGCCTACATGTAAGCAGCGTTCTCTACCACATAGATTATATTGCTATTTTATCCAACGCTGATGTACAGAACTAACATTACATCTGAGGAAAACATATATTGCTTTCGGTTGCTTAGTTTCCTTTACTTGTATCATGGCTTGTGTGACGCTGTGCTGTAATACTAGGGTTCTCCTCATACGTCACACTCCAGGATTCCCCAACGACGCGTAACGCGCCTCAGTGAACTAATACAGTGATATAAGACCTCAGATCTCAGACGACAGCAGAATGGAGTTTAAGGATTTTTTAGATTAAGGATGTCTACGAAGTATATGTATGCAATGAATATAATGTTAAACATTAAGTATTAAAGCCATACAGTATATAATTATTATTAAGAAATTACTGTAATTCACATAAAGTTTTTTTTTATGTTCCAAAGGTTCCAAACGCACATTCCTAGTGACTAGACTGACATACACAGGTGAGATTTTGCTAATATCTCCCTTACTGTATGCACCATGCACAATTATTTAAAACAAACAAACAAAAAAAATCTGTAGGACCCCAAAAGGGATTTTTCATGTTCCAAAGGTAGTATAAAATATTGATGTACTTTATCAATATTTTATACTACAACCTTTGGAACATGAAAAATCCCTTTTGGGGTCCTACAGATTTTTTTTGTTTGTTTGTTTTAAATAATTGTGCATGGTGCATACAGTAAGGGAGATATTAGCAAAATCTCACCTGTGTATGTCAGTCTAGTCACTAGGAATGTGCGTTTGGAACCTTTGGAACATAAAAAAAAACTTTATGTGAATTACAGTAATTTCTTAATAATAATTATATACTGTATATACAGTGAGGAAGATATTGGCAAAAGTTCAACTGTAGTAAGTCAGTCTGGTCACTAGAAACACGAAAAACCCCATTTTGGTGAATTACTCATATTTGTGTAGTGTACATACTTGGGGAAAGTATTGTCTAAGGCGAGTTATTGGCAATATATATTTAGTCAGTTTGAGTAAATTATTCATTTACTGTAAACATTAGATTTGAATAAATTATTGGACTTTTGTACTGTGAGGTAAATTTGCAGACGGTTCATAAAGCAGCCTAGGCGTATATGCAGCGAATATCAAACCTAAAACTATCGCGCTTGGTTTTCTATGGGAGAAAAAAAATGGTTTGGTGAAACTTTGTGGGTTGTGGGCTCATATTCTGGGCTCATCTGCTTAAATGTACATAATATACAGTAATATATATTATTAATTAGGTGCCGAATTTAATAATTTATCACCGTCTTGAGGCAATAAACCACGTTAAGTGTTTTCTTTATGGGAAATGTTTAACGTGCAGTTTTGCACGTTCCGTAACTTATGTTCTTATCCTCATCTGCCTGTTTGTAGTTTGCATCATCAGTAAGATCTGAGTTTGGTCTTTTAATAGCTGTCATTGTGTTAGTGCACTGAGCCGCGTAATGCATTTTCTTTAACAGATTTCTGAGGGAAACAGCATGAAACCTTGCGCGTTCGTTCATATTCTACATCTGCTTAACTGTCGGTATAGTTCGCATCATCAGAAAATCTTTTTCTGAGATCCGAGGTCTTATATCACTGTATTAGTTCACTGAGGCGTGTTACGCGTCGATGGGGAATCCTGGAGTGTGACGTATGAGGGGTAACCACAGTATTACAGCACAGCGTCACACAAGCCATGATACAAGTAAAGGAAACTAAGCAACCGATAGCAATATATGCCTTCCTCAGATGTAATGTTAGTTCTGTACATCAGCGTTGGGTAAAATAGCATTATAATCTCCTATGTGGTAGAGAAAGCTGCTTACATGTAGGCTACGGGTAACAGCAAAGATGTTGAATTAAACACACACAATCAGCTTTTCCACATGTTTATACTGGCCCCGATAATCAAAATTCTACTTAGCCTTGCTCCATTTCTGCAAATCATTTTTTGTGAATGAATGACTTAATCCACTCCTGCAGCTCCCGGATGTGCAATGCCGAATTTTCTGTCGAATTCTAACCACTGAATTTGTGGAAGCGAATTTGGAAAATGAAATAAAATGGACCGAAATTTGCCTGTCGAATATTATACTTCGTATTTTTAAACAGTTTGAATATTTTGGAAGTGAATTCTGGAAAGTGAATATGAATTATTGAATTTTTAATTATGAAAATGTGTGTGAAATATTTTGAATTGAAATAGTCACAGCTTAAATAGACAACTATGTTAAATTTCAGGACCTAAAAATGCAAGCCCTGGAAATACAAGGCATTAAAATGCAAGCACTGTTAATGCAATGCATTATTTTTTCAGTTAGTGCTATTCAACGTGCTTTTTTGTTTCAAAGACATATGGCATTATTTCACTTCCTTATGCAAAGGTTTCATGAACTACATCCATTTGAATTTTATTATGCCATTTCTTGGGTCCAAAAGTAGGATTCAAGTGAACAGGTTAATGTGTAAAGTGTTTTTTTTTAAATGCTACACCTCCACTTCACCAATGAAGCAAAGGCATGTAAATCCATTTGTTTGTAAACAACTGCCTCTTCCATGAAGAGAACTCATATCAAATATTAAATCCAATGAAATTACTTTTATTGATTGACAAGTAATTGTTATGTTCATGACTTAATGGGGGAAATGCCTCTAGGAGGTAATTAAGGAATGGAATTAAAAACACAAAACTGTGCAGGTATGTATATGTAGAAATAGAATGAAGAGAAATAAAATGGAGACTAAAATGGTATACAATTTTAACAAAAATGTTTAATACACTTCATTTGAGAATAAAACAATTCAGTATTCAAACACTAATTTGGAAGGGCTGACCTATATATTCATCTCTGTCACTAAACTTAGTATTTTTTAGTTTTTCTGTGTTTTATATATTTTCCAAAGATGTTGTACTCTCCATTCTGCAGATGGGCTCATGAGAGCTTCTGTCTCAGCGGATGTAAATACTCTCTTCTCCCATTCTTCCTCATTCATTCTAGCTGTTCTCTTCTTCTTTATCTCCTGTTTTTTTTTCACTCCCAGGTTGTCTCTACATTTCATGCTTTAGCTGGGAATCACAAAAAGATGAGTTTTAATAAACATAAGAACACTGAGCAAATGCTAAACAGCACTAAACATGATTTTTTGAAACCCTGTTTTGGGTATCAGCAGGGCTGGTTATCGTCTACTACCTCACAACACGATACGTATCTTAATACACACGTCACTATACAATATTGCGATATTTAGCAATATTTAGTGGCTTCACATCCACATTTCCTTAAATTACAGTACATAGTATTGTAATATAAACTAATGTATTAATTCACAACACTGTATCTTAAAACTTCAAGAAAAGAATATATTTGCATTTAACTTGATTTACACAAGCAGAACATGTTCTTGGAACATGATTTACCCAAACAGGACATTCCTGGATCATCCTTAATTGTTCTGGAACAACATTACTCTCAGTTAATCAGATTTCAGGGTTATGCTAAGGGTTGCACATTGTCTATCCACAATAAATATTTACCAAGCACTTTAGCAAGAAGTTAGTTTATATCATAGAAAATAAAATGTCTCCATTAGTAGAAATAAGCCAGTTTTTCTATTGGGCTGACAATACAAGGGAAGACAAGTGGAAAGTTCAGCATAAATTTCACTGGAGTTCCATGCATGCATGGCTGAATCACAGACAAGTTTAAGACAACATGTTCTCTCAAAGCAACACCAACCAAAACGGTAAACATGCAAAAGGATAGAGACATGTAGACATTCATAAAGACAGGTACAGCATGGCTATTACTGGATACCTTGCTTCTGTTACTTGAAAACTGGGAGGTGTGGACTGTTTAGGCTAGAAATGAATATAGTAGGTTAGTGTGAAATAAATGAAATGAGTGTGAGAGAAGACATATGGCATTATTTTTCTTCCATATATGTTGATATAGTCACTGTTAGTATTTAATGATGTTGGTGTCGTCTTGTCATTGTCTTGCCTTAGTTATGGAATAAAAGGTTGTCAGTGAATATTGTTTGTTGTATTTTTCATGAACAAATTTAAAGGGGTCCTATTATGCTTTTTCACTTTTCAACTTTAGTTAGTCTGTAATGTTCCTGTTTAAACATAAAAAAGATCTGCAAAGTTACAAAGCTCAAAGTCCAATTCAAAAGGAGATATTTTATTTAACAGAAATTTCTAAATAAACTGCAACGAACGACTCGTTTGGACTACAACTAATATTTTCCAGAATTTGTGATATCACAAATATCGACGAATGGGACGAGACCTGGTTGAGCTGCACTAGAGAAGGCAACGAGTGTTATCACGAAGTCGGAGACATGCTAGCTTTCCCAAGGCAGACGAACTTAGAGTGGTTACAATCATCCGGGTTTAAATCACGCTCAAATTGAATTGATTTTGATGCAATATTTACACTGAAGCTCGCAGGCAGCTATGGTAAGGGGCATGACATTTCTCTACCAGGCGCTGAGTGGAGCCAATCGTACACCCCCAAAACAAAATCAAGACGTTGTAAAAGAGCATAATAGTACCCCTTTAAGACTGCTTTGGAGTCGATACATACCCTTCATAGCCATTTCAACTTGTGTGAATTTGAGTAGATATTATCAGGCCAAACATTCAAGGGGATGCACATTTTTGCCATGAACTTAAAGGGGTCATATGATGCTTTTTTAAAGATAATTATTTTGTGTATTTGGTGTAACATAATATGTTGACATGCTTTAATGTTCAAAAAACACATTATTTTTCAAATACTGTACATTACTGTAGGGCGTGGCAGAGTCTTAACTTTGATAAAGAATATCTCTTTGGTTTTGAGACTTTAGTCTTTGCAACTTCAAGGATCTTATCTATGCACAATCAGCTTGTAACACTCCAAAGAGAAAGGAAAACTTGAAATCGCATCATATGACCCCTTTAAGGGTTAAATAAGGCTGAAAACACAGTTAATTATGTTAATACAGCATGTCCATTTACTGCTGCCTTTACTCTTCACTTCACTCTCCTCTTCACAGAAAGAATGAAACATCTACACACATCTCTTGTTTCGCTCCTCCTCTTGTGTTCACCATGGCCAAGTGCTGGAACAACTTTCTTGACCTATCTCGGAACACTGTGTATAGAAGACTGCCAGCCTGATGGTGGTGAGTACAAGTGCAAGACTATTGATAAAGATGGAAAATGCCAGACAATGTACTGTTCACCTCAGGAAAACATCGACTACTGGGGTAGGCAGTGCAAAACTGACAGTATGTGTGGGAAGCATGGAGAAGACTACTACTGGTGCAAAATTGATGCCTTTTCTTGGGGATACTGTGGACTGGTGATGGAGGACAAGAACCATTATGGATCTAAGACAGGTGCGCTGTGTTACGACCGCTGTGACCAAAGAAATGAAGTCTACCATTGGTGCCATACTGCGGATGGATGGGACTATTGCTCGCCATATGAAAACGTAGACTACATGAACAAGAACTGTAAAGAAGACAATCCATGTGGGAAGCAGGATAAGGACTACTACTGGTGCTGGCTGAAGGAGGGAAGCTGGGGTTACTGTGGGCTTGTGGAACCAAAGATGTTGCTCCACCGGTCTAAATATCATTATGTTTGCACAGACGAGTGCCAGTATCATGAGAGTCGTGATTACTACTGGTGCCACACTGCCAAAGACTGGGACTACTGCTCTCCAGATGTAAATGTAACCTATAAAGACAATCCCTGTCGCTCAGACCACTACTGTGGCTTACATGGTTCTGGTTACAACTGGTGCTGGACCTCAGAGTCAGAATATGATTACTGCGGGCCCATTGAATCTGCAGAGTGCACTTACGTCACCTCTCAGCATCGCAACAGGAGAGCCCCAGAAAACAGAATACTGATATGCATCCGAGAGGACAAGCATAACAAAAGAAAAACAATATTTACTGCGGAGCCAGCTACTGATAACATAATGGATAACCGAAGATGGAGAAACGAGGCAAGCAACTTAATCAGTCGCTGGAACAATGGGTACCTGGTGGACCAGCCTCGTTCCAATCTGATCACCTCTGATAATCTCCGTATCGACATGCAGAGCCCCATCAACCGCAACAATCAGCGCTACTACAACCTGCAGATCCAGGTGAACATGAGTCGGGGGCCTGGTCAAAGCACCACTGTGTCTCAGATCATCGTACCTGATGGAGTTCCAGACCGCTACATCCGCAGAGCCTTCTTGGAGAGCTTCAGGCGCCGAGCTCGAGTTTTTGTTGATGTTTCATCACAAAGTCAGTGTTAGAGCTGTGTGAAATGTGCAAGTTGTAATTCTTTCAGCTTTTTGCTGTACACAGAAAATACTGAGCAGAATAAGCATAATGCATATTCTGTGGATTCAAGTCAATTTGTGCTTTTTGTGTGAGCTCATTCATGGCATGGGACGACATGTTAATGTGCGTATTTGTTGTAACGTAATTAAAAAATTGGGTTATTTTACTACTACTACTACTACTATTACTACAAATAATAATAATGTATAATAAAACTAAATCACAGCTTCTATGACTAATATCTAATAAAATTAATAATGCTGTTTGTGTGTCAGTTCAATCATGGTATGGGAGGAAAAGTATTTCTTCAATTGTAATGTGCTGTAAAAAATATTTGCATATAATTTGTGTATAATCTTATTTAGCAAAATTAAATATTGAATATATTCTAGCAATTGTAAAATGGCTCATACTTTAAAGTTATAACTGAAACCAGCAAAATACTGTAGGATGGAGCCATGGGGAAGAATCTTATATTTTAGCGACTTGGGGGCCAACCTCATGATTAAGATATAGCAGGTGGGGGGCTACGTTGATTACAGTAGCTTACACTGGACTACAGTTTAGTTGTCAGCCAGATGGTCTCTTTGGTCTTTGTTTATCTCTGGAGGTTATAATGGATTCAAAATGATTCCAACAAAGTTTAAACAAATTTGTTTTTCGAAAAAGAACACACTATTTTCCTTTTTATTATTTATTTATTTATTTTTCGGTGTGTGTGTTTCAATCCATCGCTAGAAATCTACTGACGTCATTTGATGATATGAATGAAAATTTTCCTCATTTCTCTACATCATGGCAGCTGTATAAGTCTGGATTCCCTAACAGTACGCACATTTGTAATAAATGTGCATACATTTAACACGATGTCGAGAACTAAATTGATCTCAATAACTTGTTTTGCTATGCGTACTTTGATCCTAACACATTTAATCATACTATTTATTATTCTTAGGTTATGTAGATTAAATATAGTCTGGCCAAAATTATAACAATTTTAAAATACTTACACTATGAAGTATAAAATAAAGAATCACAGTTTCCATCAAAGGTGTACTCAGCTTTAGGCTTGTTGTCTTCAGCTCCAGGCTTCATGTCATCAACTTCAACAGGCGTCAGGGGTGCTGAAGCTATCAGTATCCAAAGCAGCAATCAAGTTATCAGTCTTCTATACTCCCATTGTTTACCATGAAAGTTAGGTTATCTTCTTGATTCAAGTTGTAACCTTCCCAAGATTTCCGTGATCTTTCTGAAGGCCTCACAGTGAAAGTGTCACCTCCTCATGTCCCTGAACTCCAGTAAACTCAACCAAGATGGCCGAAGTTTACATAAGTTTCTATCAGCAGAACCATAGTTCTAAATGTGATAAATAGTTGTAGCAAAAGGGTCCGTGTACTTGGCGGCCAATGGATTTTACTTTTGAAATTAGAAAACCAAATTCGGGAATCGAACTGTTTCCTGATTATTGTTTAGAAATAGGAGAACAAAAAAATCGGAAAACGACCTATGATATGTTTGTAAATGGAAATCGGGAATTAAAATACACGTGTGAAAGTCTCAATTTTGTGCTGATTGTTTGTAGTGACCCGGAAGCTATCGAGTAGTATGACTAGAGTAGTATGAGTAGTATGTGCAGATTGCATGTTGTGACCAGGATGTCAGCTGGGCGGGCCGCGGGGCCTGTCAATCGCCACGCGCCTGTCATTCGTCATTCAAAAACGGCCGCCAACATGAAAAGTTTTGTAACTTTCGTTCTCTTTTGAGGAGGCAAATGAGTTACACTGAAAGACGATGACATGTCTGTGGACAAGATATGCAGGATTTTTCAGGTAATGTCACTGTTCAACTCATTATTGACAGTTTTGCACGTTAAGGATATTGTGGTGTTGCCATGTGCAAACATTTCACAGCGCCTTGGTTAGCTTGGTGACATGTGCACAGTTGCATGTGACTCGACGATAGGTATAATGAGCTGATGCTAGTTAATGTTGGTTAAAAGTAGGGATGCACCGATACCACTTTTTCCAGTACTCGCCCAATACGATACTTTTATTTTTGGTACTTGCCGATACCGAGTACCGATACCGATATTTTTATCGCATTTGTAAAAAAATAATGTAATATTGGGTACAGAAACCATAAGAGTATGTATAATGTTAGTTGGTTAACTTAATTTATCAAATAGATACAGTCGGAGATCATGTGACCCTTTGACTGCAGTGCACGCACAGTCCTTAGCTCTGCTCACTCTGTCAAATATTCTACAATCCTGATAGTAAATTTCGAACCACTCTTTATCTATTCCATCATGAGTACTTCAACGGTCAAGGACAATTGGAAAAGAGTGATTGAGCAATCGCCAATAAAGAAAAAATTCTAAGATTCCACCATCACCAAAGAGGATCTCGACGGCGCCATTGCTAATGGTATCAAGCTAGCACTTAAAGAGCAGCAAAGTACTTTGGATTCGGTTGTGGCCTCGACAGTAAGAGATGTGATAGACTCTGTACTGACCCCGGTACTGCGTGACCTACATATGGACATACAAGCGACCAACAATTCTGTAAAAGAGCTAAAAGCAGAAGTTGAAAAGCTAGCCATCGCGGCGAAACAGACACGTGACCGGGTCGATTCAGTTCAAGCAGCTGCACGTGAGGATAGGAGGACAGTCACGAACCTGAGAAAGTAGCTAGAACAACTTACCGATAAGGTGGCGGATGTGGAAGATGGGAGCGGGAGAGGTGGCGTGCGGCTGGTGGGGTTGCCGGAGAGGGTGGGGGGCTCCGGTGCAGCGGGCTTCCTCAGAGCTAATCTTTCCAAGTGGATTCCTGCACTGAATGGACGCGATATTGAGATTGAGCGGGCTCATCGCATCTATGACGGAAGAAAAAGTAACTCCGAGCGGCCGCGTACTCTTATCTTTCATGTGCTGAGATGGCGGGACAGGTCGGCGATCCTGAAGGGTGCACAGCGGGCATGCTCGGTGAAATATTCGCAGGATAATGTCACGCTGCTGGAGGATGAGGATGCATCCTTGGGAGGATGACAGCACTGGGTCTGCAGCCGTTTCTCATCTATTCGGCGATAATTAAACTACGGCACAATGGTGAGCAGATGATGTTCGACTCTTCTCAGAAAGCAGAGGATTTTCTTCTATCTTGCAAACTTGTCTAGTGACTGTTAAGCTTTGAAATCTTTTCTTGGAGCTAATGGAGAGAAGGGTTGATTACTAGTTCTTGACACTGGGTTTTTCGGGGACTTGTTTTGCGTTGGAGTGGATCGGTCACGTATCCAAACATTTTTCTTTCTTTTTTTTAGGCAGACCTATATTCTCGGTAATGTGCGGTCTGTTTTGGTTCTTGTTCAAAGTTGTTTGTCGTTCCTTTTTTTGTGCTACTTTTATTTTATACAACAGACATTAATATCTTTATTTATTTCATTTGATTTTTAAAAGGATTGCGCATGTAAACTTTGTTTTATCCTCGTTATTACAAACTGATTATATGGCTAAGCCAAGTTTATGTCTCATTAATGTACAGCGGCACGAATTGATGGGGCCGAGCCGGGCGCTGTTGACGTTTGGCAGTGCTCTTTTTCTAAAGTACTGGATTATATAGAGGATGTCTGTTGTTGTTTTTGTGTTTTGTCATGAATGGATGTTGTGATGTTGTTTGTTGTATGTATAAAAAATAAATAAAATTTGATCACAAAAAAACAAAGCAAAAAAAAAACATGCGCTTGCATCGAGAGGTGCTAAGATTACAACCGTACGACTTTCGTTGGCGCAGGCGACGGGTTGTTAACGTAACCGATGATATTCATAGAGTTAAACGACTTGGCACAATTCGTGCCAAATGGTTCATGCTGCATTTGCAGCCAATGAGCTTACTGCCTTGCATTTATATGGCTGGCTAGCATTCACTAGAGATTCCCGTAGCGCGCTTTCAGAGTTTCTCTGAAACCCTCCACCTTCCCCAGCTCCACCTGTATAAATCTGCTACGGGTTATTTTATATGCTATTTGTGCAGCAGCAGTATGTCTTAAATACTCATACCACCATATCGCCATATGCATTGGCAGTAGCAAGTTCCTGTACTTGCTTGCATCAGCAGCAATAATCTACAACTACAGCAATAACCAACAGCAATTCAGCAGATCTATTCCGACAAGACCAAATACATTAACATTGTCATATCCATCACCATGCTAAAATGTTCCAAGAATTGTCATGATTGAAATTATGTTTATAGTGAATGCCCCTATAAATGGTCTTATTTTTATGATTTAGTTTTAGGCCAAATGATGCGTGTGCTAAGTGAGTGAACATCAAAGATCACACAACAGAAGTGCGCGCGCGCACAATCCACTCAGCATGCTTTGCTTATCAGCTCACGCATATCAGCTATACAGGCGTTAATACTGAATGTTTAACATTATATTCATTGCATACATATACTTCGTACACTTCCTTAATCTCTAATAACTCCATTCTGCTGTCGGTTGTATCGGTGTTTCTTTGTCTGAATATGGCACTTATCACATGCTGTGTGTATCGGCGTTTTGGTATCGGGGCTAAAAACGAGTACAGGAGCTCAGTATCGTGCCCGATATCGGTATTGGTGCATCCCATATATATATACATATACACATATATACATACATATATAAAACATACGAAGTATATGTATGCAATGAATATAACGAGTACGAGTACAGGAGCTCAGTATCGGGCCCGATACCGATGGTGCATCCCTAGTTAAAAGTAACTTTGCTATCGTAAAGATCCCGATATCCGCCCCACGGCTAAAATTAAAACGTCTTTAATCAGTAAACCCTACAGATTTCAATAGCACTGGGTGTCTAGATTATGATCAAGTATGATCTGTCAGGACCCATACCATACAATCATATCCTAACGCTATAATCGGTAGTAACAGGCGGCAAAACCTCAGTGGAGGTTTGATTAGTGGAAAGGAGATCGATCATGGTTGAAAAACTGTATGACTGACACAAATCCTTGTCACGAAATTGTTTTAGTTCAGTTTGTTCCATAACTGCTTATACATATATAATCGCTATCTAGGCACATGTAACTATGCTGTACAGCTGTGATTTTTTTATATTTTTTTGCACACAGATAATGTAAATACCCCTTTGTGGCAAAATATTACGTTATTCATAATTCGTTGTCCTGTTTGACAGTGAAGTTACTATTAAGTAAGACATAGGCTTAAAGTGGTGGAGTTAGGAAAGGGGCGGAAATAGGGAATGTTACGATATATATATATATATACAGTGGTGTGAAAAAGAATCAGTGGTCCTGATTTCTTATTTTTTTGCATGTTTGTCACACTTTAATGTTATTATTTTAAGGATGTTGAAATATATTTTTATGTTAAATAATGTTAATGGTGCAAACATGTTGTTTATGCTGCAACTGAATATGTGGGAGACTTTTTACTCTTTTACTGTAAACAGTCTTTTTACTGTTTACTTACAGTGTTCTTTAAACTTTTATGGTGTTCTATCATGTAAACAAATCATGCATCATTATATCCAATTAAACAGGTCAATGGCAGTAGTCTGTACATTACAGATGATGCAAACACAGCAATATTCCCAAAGCCAACAGGACGATTTTGCACCATCAGTCTTTCACATTGCAGTCATTATGAGATCCACGGAGATCCAGATCAAAGTCAGCCACCTGCAAGTAGAGCCCTACACACTGCAGGTCTGCAGGTGTTCCTTTTGCCTTCATGCGCCGGCCTTCATTTTCTGCTTCCACTGACACACCAGGAGCTTCGCCTGGAACTCCACGAGCTGGTGGCCTGTTCCCAACAAGATTGTTCCAAAGGTTACTTGTTAATTATGCAACTAATCTCTGCTGCTAAAATTTAATCCTATAATATATTAATAGTTTATAAAGTAAAAAAAAAAAAAAACATTGCTTCGCTTCAGAAGGCATTCATTAACTGGAGTCGTATGGATTACTTTTATGATGGATGGAGTGCTTTTTAGAGCTACAAAAACTCTGGCACCATTCACTGCCATTACAAAGCTGGAAAGAGTCAAGATATTATTTAATATAACACCGATTGTGTTCATCCAAAAGAGGAAAGGCATATACACCTAGGATGGCTTGAGGGTGATTAAATTATGGGATAATTTTCATTTTTTTTATTAACTATTCATTTAAGTACAGTAATCAAGTAAAATTACTTAAGTAGACTATTATAAACCCCTGCAATGCCTGAATAGAATATTTTTCTTAATAGTCAGAGAAAAAAATCTTGACCAAGGGTGCATCAGGTAATCACAAGCAAGACTATGGGTGCTCCAGAGAGGGAACAAACTGGCAAAAACAAAAAGTGGATCCCATTGCAAAAAATAAAATAAAATCCACATTCAGGCACTCACATAGCAAGCAAAGTAAAAAGCCTTTCATTATAAGACAGGGCTACATATTAAAAACACCAACGTATATATATATATATACACACACACACACACACATATATACATATAACAATCGAACAAATACCAATAAAAAGCACCTACAATCAAATCTAACAATTACAGTAATGGAGAAAAATCAATATCTTCATTGAGACCAGGATATGAGAGAGCATCCAATTTATGTATCCAATAAGTTTCTCATTGTTTTAACCGTCAAAAGCCCTATTCGCACGGGATTAGTATTATCTATCTATCTCTGGGGACCCAGGCCCCCCCTCCCCCGCATCTGAATTTCGTGTGGTGCATTCGCACAGGATAAGTGAAGCCTGTGATTTTACTCGAATTTACCGACTTGTCTCCCGGATACGATGTCAAGGCTTTAAGAGTCCCGTTCTATGGTCCGGTTAGATGGATTTAAAAAAAAGAAACTAATATAGTTTCGTGCCCCGTGTCATTTACATTTCACCAGGATAAAATAATATCTCAAGCTTTATGCTTGATTTATTTGTAACACATTAACCTCAAAACCTTTTCAGCTTAACGCAGCTCCATTCTTCGCGAAAGATGGATAAAAAGGCGCGCAGCAAACAAAAACCTCGAAAAATTATATGCGACCCGCCAAACCCGCCAAAAATCACAGCGATGCCGATTCGCACGGGACTAATATTATCACAGGACCTCGGTGTTTGGCGTGTTTGGCGAGGTCATTTGCGGAGGAATTTATACTTTACAAATTACAGACATGACCGATTCGCACGGGATTAAGATCACAGACAACCTCCGCAATTATTACAAATGACTGGAGGTCACCAGGTAATACTAATCCCGTGCGAATAGGGTTTATGATTTACT